CCCCTGTGGAGACGAGGCTGAGCATGATGCGTTCGTTGAGAGCTAATGTTTCGCCTTGTTTCATTTTGATCCTCTTCTTGTCCAAACATTTCATAGCATACCTACAATGAAAAAAAAAACTTCGGAAGAATACGAAGACAAGCAAGAAACGAAGTCAGAAATCGGAATCATACCCATTTAGTTTATTTTCAAAATAGAAGTAAAATTTTTATAAGAGAAACCTACAAGTGTCAAATGTGACCATATCTATCTGAAACCTTTCTGCTACACCTACCTTTTATTTATATTATTTGCAGTATCATTTTCATATCTCTGCATTCGAACGGAAAGACATTATGATGGAGTGGAAAGTTTTGTTTGATTTTACCAACAAACTTTTTTCGGAAAGTTTTGTTAGATTTTGCTAACAAAACATTTTTATCTGTAAAAGGCGTTTTGAGCATCAGAGTGAAACGGCAGAATTGTAGATGGTGGTTTAATGGTAAGTAAAAAAGTAGGAAACTAGAGAGCCAATTCCCTTTAAAGGACAAGGAAGCGAAAAGAGAGGAATATAGGAAGCGAGGCTTCATTGAAAAAAAATATCGGAAGAGAGGCTTCATGCAAAAATACTACAAGATTATCTTAATGAACATTTATTGACAGAATCTTATGAAAGTAAGTAAACCCTTGAGTTAGGGCTAAATCGGGTCAGTCTGAGGAAAAAATTGAATTGCTAGACTCACATCTTTCCAGTATCCGCCTTTCGGCACCCGTACACTTCACCAAAACCTCCACGACCAATGATTCGATGTACAGAAAAGTCGTTCATGGTAAGTTGCATGTTCAACTCGAGGTTTTTCCACTGACAGAATCGAGTGAATTTGTCGCTAAAAGAGTAAGTTTACAAAAGTGCGTAAAATATGGAATAACTGAGCAAAGCCATTATGCTGAACACCGGAGCTACGAGCTAGTGGTCCTCGCTGAGTTAGTCATTTTACCGAACCAAGTAAGCAGATAAATCAGCATTGAGTTTGACACATAGGTACATTAATCTTTATTTATGATCAAAGATTTCGAAATTCCTCCAGCGTCTATCGTCTTTGTCAATGGCTGCGTATACAGCTTTCGTCTGCTTTCCCTACCTTCCTAAGACAAAAAATGAAAAAAAAAG